GTTGGTAGTTAAGAGGCACAAAAGAAACGGGTGCAAGTGTGGGCGTCCCGTTCGCTCTGGGGGCCTTACACTGAGCGAATCTGTCAGGTGCTGTGCGCATAATTAGCACAATCCCCGGTAACTAATGATTACTGTGAGCACACAAACATGTAGGTGATGTGGTTGCTGATGTCTTTTAAACTTATTCCCGCTCTGGAAGTATATTTCATTGTGTATATATGTCTCCGAGAATGGTGTAACCGTTCTTTTCTTTTTCTTCTTAACCAAACCATGGTTTTTGTTTAAAATAGTGTTAGAACCTTTAAGATTGTGGCAGATTTCCTTGCATGAGGCGTGTCTTTAGCGCTGCCTGTTGAGTTTCTGTCACTCTTTTCCCACCAGGCCTGACGTACGATGAAGTCATCAGCTTTGTGCCGCCACCGCTTGACCAAGAGGAGATGGAGTCCTGAGAAACTGCTCTCTTCTGTTTGTCCCACTTCACTGTGAGGGGAAGGCCTTTCCATGGGGACTCTCCGATTATCGTTCAAGTGCCTCGTCACGACAATATTCTCCTTGGTGGAGGGGTTTTGTGTGTGTTGAATTGGGGAGGGTGGGGGGAGGGAAGAAAGCCGAGTCTATGTAAACATGCTGCATGCTCTCTTGTATTCTGTGTACAGCCTGGGGCAAGCCTCTGAAGACCTGTTCTGACTGCTCCTCAGTCCTTCCAGAGCAACAGTGCTCAAGCAGTTTGCACTGCTGGGGCAAGGTGCGGAAAGCTGACGTTTAGAATTCGGTTACAATCGTTGCCGTTTATCAATTCTTCTACCATTAAGTAACCTCAAAACGATGGAAGTTGTTTCACAGGCTTAGAGAGTCCTCTTCTGTTCTTCAGGACTGAAGGTGGGGTTGAGGGATGTTCTTGTTCAATGCCAGATGGCTGATTTACATCCAGATCTTCCTGGTACGGCAGAATGTGCAGGCCTTCTAATGTCTGATTCGTGGAACGTGGAAAGGTTTTGTTTGAAACTGTAAATATGTTTGTGCCTTAAATGAATGGGGAGAGAGGGGAAAGGAAGTCTGGAGTGGAAATCTCTGACCCCGCTGTTTTTCAGGGTGAAGGCTCCCAGATAGCCAGGCACGAACTTGATGTAAGCAGGAAATAACTGTCCAAGGCAACAGCCTCTACCCCTGGATTGGGTATTCCTGTATTTTTTCCCCTCTTCCCTTCCTCTCGTGCTGAGGCTTCCCAGCATGAGCTCCCAGGAGACAGAGGCTGGAGAAGAGTCTTGCTAACCACACGTTTGTGTATTTTGTTCCTTAAAAGGTGGGGTGTTTTTGCATGTCGTAGCTGTACGTGCATGTAGAGCTGCCTGATTTTTTGTCATTACTTTTTTTGGGGGTGGCACTGGGGCAGTTAAATCGTCGGTGAACTATTTTACTGAGTACCTCAGCCAGTGCCATGAAATCACAGCATCCTTCCTCTTGTGCTGCAGCTCCTTGTGAAATACCTGCTGTTCTGGAGGGTTTGGTGAGGAAAGGATACAACATACAGCATGGAAACGTGCACCTTTTTTTCTTTGTGTTCTGATCTTCTGGTCTCAGAGGAGAGCTTGGGACGGAGGGTTTCTTGTGAGATCGGATGTAAAAAGTGTTCTTCAAAGAAACAACTGCGGCACCTTGTGCCAGAACTTAAGTTATTTCCTGAAAAGAAATTTTTTAGAGGTATTGGAATCCAAAGCAAAGAACTAAGCATGCATAAACCCACAGTCTCCCTTTCACTGTCTATATCTATAAATATAAATATTTATATATATATATAAAACTAACATTTACTAGAGGTTTTTTTACCCTCTCAGATAAGAGCTGCTTGGCTGTTTTTTAGCAGGTTGATCTCTGCCTGAGGAAACATGAAAAGGGAGCGTGTTTGAATACAAACATGGTTCAGATTTTTTTGTATTTTACAGGACTCTGCGTGAGTGAAATGCTCAGAGTTAGAGACTGGCAGGAGGGAGGTTTCTCAGCATCTTTGTGTGCTGGAACTGCACCTGGGGAGCTCAGGAGCCCGATTTGAGGGTTGCGGAGGAGACGTTTAGATGTTTATTTGTTGCAGGGTACAGCGTACCTGTGTGTGTGAGGAGAAAGGCTTTTGCAGTATTTTGTATTGTTGTACCTACGGGACAGAGGAGCCGTTTGTAGTGTTTGTACCCCGTGTTTGAAGAGGCAGCACAAAGGGATGGGACGCGGATGGCAAAGCCATTGATTCTTCCTAGGCTATTTCCAGTGATCTCTTCAGGTCAAACGCTTAGTAAAGCTCTGGGGTGAGATGAAGAGAGCAGTTATTTCATGCTCTGGGATAAAACTCCCCTCAGCCCAATCAAGCCAGAAACCCTCCCTTTTCTGCTGGACCAGCAGTCCAGGTATTCAAATGAAAATGTAGATATACGATGTAAACCTACGGCAAGATTATTTTTATCGGCCATTTTATGTGTAGATGCTACAGTGTGATTTCATGCGGAAATATTGCTGAAGATTTTTAAAAATATAGACGTTGTGTGTGCGTGTGTGTGTGTGTCTGTGCGCGTGTGAGTGGGGGTGTCCCGATGGGAGCCCGCGTGGGCCGTGCGCTCCCCGCCGTCGGTGCGGCGCCGTTCAGCCGGACGGGAGGACGCACTTCAGAGGAGATCTGCTCTTGTTTCTATCCATGGATTTTGCTGTAATTGGTTATGCCAGATAAGATGTCACAATACCACTGGTTAAAAATAAAACCTATTTTTCAGATCTACGGCGCTGATGGTACTTACAAACCTCTCGTTTCAGCACGGTGGGATTTCTCCCTCGTGCCCTACGGGATCCCGTCGGTGATGGCCGGGGTGGCCAAGGCCGCGTGATTTGTTGACTGACTCTGTCTGCTGACACTGGGCTCGTGTCCGTGTTTGTCCCGAGTGAATTCAGTGCCACAAAACTACTTAGAGTCTGACCGTGAGCACTGGACATGGGAGAAATACTTGAATTTTCTGTTCGGTGTCGGGAGGCGCTTACTGAACGCAATAGCCGGCGTTCTGCTGCTCACCCGGCCCTGGCACCCTTCCCCAGTAGCACTGGTTTGTGTTTCCAATTTAAAAGTGATTTTTTAAATATTTTTTTTCCTCTTCAGCTGCCATCTAATTGGCAGTGGAAGGGTGTTTGTGGGCGCAGGAGCATCGTGGCTCTCCATAGTGGAGATTGTCTGACTTCTGCTGTCCGTCAGGGCCGTTCACTCGGAAGACTGGCCAAAGCTGTGTTCTTCACGCTGACAAAAGCCTCCATAGCTGAAGTTCCCGGGCCCTGACACACCAAGGTGGCTCGTGTTGGCCCAAGTCAGGTAGCTGATCCCCACAACGTGTCCGCTCCCCTGTCGCAGAGCTGTGCAGCGGCTGATTTGAGTAAGTGCGAAGAGAAGTAGGGGGGCGTTCCCTGGGCGGTACGGGGCTGCCTTCCTGCTTGCTGTCACCTTCTGCTTGCCTTGGTACAACCTGAGAGGAGGGGGAAAAACCCCCAAACAGGACCTGTCATTTATTGTTTTCTGGGAGAGAGAAAACAATCCCCCAAACCTACGATACACAATTCCAGAATGTGCTCAGGTACAATATATCCTGGTTCGCAAAAAAAAAAAAAAAACAAACCAAAACAACGCAACCCAACACTAAAATGGGTGAGAATTGAATTGGGGCCGGGGGGAATGACACCTACAGACTGAAGTTACTTCAGGTTTCCCATTCGATTTGAATCGGTCGCTTGAATTAATTCATCTTTCTGCAGCCACGACATGCCCGAGATATTCAGAACTCCTTAATTGGGCGCTGATGACCTGCGTGTGCGTTGAGCAAGAGCTGTGCTCATAAAATAACAAAGGACTTACACGTTTGCTTGTGTACTGGGAGATTTTGCTGCGACACCTCTTGCTCACAGGTGTATTTATAGAACCAAGCTGAGCCTCGGTTTATTTCCTGGCCGTGCTGTTGCTCTAGCCAGGGCTGATTTACACACGCCTGTGCATAAGCAAGATTAAAAAATTGCCATAGCACCTTGTCCCTGGCTTGTGGCTTACAAAACCGGAGCCCTCGCTGTAGCTGTTTGAGGAACACAAGGGCCAACACTTCAACAGTTGCCTGTGAGCAGGTGAAAGGAATCTTTCCTGAAACCCTGAAGGTGCTTTTTCCCTAATTCCTATTTATGAGGGAACTTGGCTCTGACCCTGCTGCGCAGCCGCGCTCAGAGCGGGGACACCTTTGCAGATGACACGTATGGAAGGAGCAGAGGCCACGGGCAGGGTTGAGGGCTGCTGGGGTAGGCACAGCATGAGCGGCTGGGCTGGCTCAGTAAGGCACAGCTTAGTCACTTCCTTCAGGAAGGAGGTAGGATGCAGCTGCCTCCTGTGCGGGAGCCCCACCTGAGCCTCCGAAAGTTGGAGCAAAATGCCGAGGAGTTCTCTGCTTACCAGGACGGGACCCTCTCGTGGGCTGGGTTTGCTGGGCTGGCCTGGGCATGGTGGGCACGGCAGCGAACTTGGGCTTTGTGCTGTCCGAGAAGGGGTTAGACCTGCTGCAGGAGAAGAAACCAGACCCAGCAAAGCCTGAGGCACGAAGAGTTCTCAAGATGGTCCCAGCTCGCAGCTGCTCCTGAACCTCCTTGCTGCAGTCACCTGGATGAAGGGGGAGAGCCTCAGCCTGCTTTCACCACCTCCCTGCTCTGCTGGGAAACCAGGCTTGGAGAAAAAAAATCACCGTGGCTTCCTTGCTCTTCTGTGGATGTAACACCCTGGTGTCCTTCGTCACCGGCCTGGAGCTGTCCTCCACCAGCTGGGAAGAAGAATGTCCCCACGTGTCTGACGAGGCGCTGTGGCTTGTCCCCCAGATTCCCCAGCTCGACGAGTCCTTACTCATCCGCTTGTTCAGAGCAGGGATTTCACGAGGCCCCCTCTGAGCCCCACGAGGACATTTCTCGGCCGGTGGAAGCAGAAGAACAGGAGCTGTAGGTGACGGCGGGGCTGCCGGAGGTGTGCCTGCCGCGGGGCTGGGCGCTCTGCTCCCGTCGCAGAGGCCACAAGAGCGAGGCGTGTCGGGAAGCCTGATGCCTCACCTCCGCCGATGTGGAGGCGGAGGGAGGAGGGCCCAAAGACATGTCCCTTCACGCTCACAACAGCTGAAAACGGAGAAGGAAACTCGCTAGAGCCCCTTTGTACCAGCTCGGGAGGCCTCGCTGTCCTGCTCTCACCCCAGAAGCCCTCCTGTCCTCCAGTACTCTGGGGGGGTGGCAGTCCCGCACCCGCCGGGCGATGAACATCGCAAGGAGAAGAGGCTTTTACAGACAGGAGGTGAACAAAACCCTCTGGGAGCTGCCCAGGAGATACACGTCCCTCCACCCGCTGGGGTCTGGAGCCTACGGCTCGGTGTGGTGAGTGGGGTCCTGCCCGCGCCGCAGGCAGCAGCACGGGGGGAGCTGGGGGTGTCAGAAGTGTCGTGCCGGGGGGGGGGGGCTGGGGGGAACGAGGAGGCGCTTGTCAGCACCCCTCCGTTAGGAAAGGCCATTTGCATGTGTGATGAAGGCGGTTTGCCTCCTGCTCCGGCGTGGGCAGCGGGTTGGAGATCACTTGAAGAAACCGAGATGTTTCCTCCTGTGGTCACCTCAGGTGGGCAGACAGGGGAGAGTTTCCCACCCGAGCTCACCTCGGGGGGGTGTCCCCTTGACATGGGGTGTCAGCCTTGGTCTTGAGCTTGCGTTAAGATTTTTGTCTGGGGAAAAAAATACCTGGGTGTCCGAAAGCAAGTGGTGGGCGATGACAGAGGTGGGCACTGGAGCCGGGGTGGCTGCGGCGTGCTCTCGGCAGCGTGTCCTTGCTGCTTTAGCCCAAGGATGCTGGGCTGCCTGGGGAAAGGAGCTGGTTGATAGAACCTTCTCCTTGA